AAGGAATTAAAAAGCTAGCTCGGGGTAATCGGGACCACGGCGAGCACGGATAAATTTCAATTAGAGCAATCGGAGCGTCTCGCGGAAGCTTGCGGAGATGGAGTCCGGGATAGCAGAGCAACAGCGTGCATACGAATGACCGTGTCCGACGCATACAAAGGGGGACCTCCGCCGCAAATCATTAGAATTGCGGTAAGTGAGATGTGAGCGGAATTGTTAGAACCGATGTAGCTCCTAGATAATGACGTTTACTTCGGATTAGCTGGCACCGGCTACCAGAATGTTTGCATGACATATATTACGAAGCTCTTTAAGGACCTAGTCATCGCTATTGGTTAGGTTAGTTTAAAGAAACAGGATATTTATTGCTACAAGCCGTCCATCAAAACAGGCAGGTTGTTTGTTGTGGAGATAATAAATGTGAGAGCGGAATTAATAAACGTGTCAGTGGTACGTCGCCACACGAGAATGATGTACAATGTAAACGTCGAGGCATAATTTCGTCGGAGGATTTGTGACGCCCTACGCTGGAGCGCCCCGGCTCGCCAATTTGTAAGCGCCGACATAAACCGCGGTGTAACGAAGCACCTAAACAACGAAATAAGCGAGCATCAAGCGACCCGCGGATATATCTCAGCGGCTGACATGTCGACAACACAAGAAGCTACTCGGACTTTACATTCGCCGACGTAACGAGGGGAGCCGCCGGCTCGCCCATTGTATTTATGCCTTAAACACAATTTATTTATTCGCCAAACATTACGGAGACACAAAATCTTGTCCATAAATACATGTGAAAGCACATATCAAGTATCGGAATGCAAACGGCGGGGCTCGTGTCTGAATTATGCAACAGAGCGGCGCGGGCGCAGGCTGCCGTAATAGTGCACGGAGTGCTCGCCCAACGCAACTCCTAAAATAATACGTACCGCGAATGTGGATAACTGAACCAGAAGCCCGTGCCTCTCGAAATAACACACAGCCCAAATATTAAACAGCCGAAACTCCCTACTTCATATTATGTGGACACAGAATCCCTTCGGATGACAGGCGACTTTCCTCGCAGATTAATACAACGATCCATTACCTAAATGACGGTGCAAATGGTATTTATTACGGCCATTGCTCTTGTCGAAATTTCACTAAATTGCGAATGCCTCCTGTTTGAGGCTGCACGTTGGACGGATCTCTTCATCTGTCGGTCGGGTGGAGACACGGTAAAGGCGGTTTACGAATATTAGCCTTATGGCTGATCGACTGTAAGTCCATCGATCTTGAGACCGGGTGGTCGGGCGGCACCAGGTTAATTACAGGGGAGAACCGATCATTTAACGTGAATTTTGCAAACATTAAATAATTTTTTTAAATATTGAACCAGCGATGCGTTCACGCGAGGAATAATAAATGAATGATGGCACCATCAGAGACACGGGCACGAGTCGCCTTGTGTAGTCCGTGCTTCCCTAAAATTTACACACAAATATGTCTTCGGACAGTCGAATCGACTCGACAAGAGAACAAATAAAGCTGAAACTGAAACAATAGACACAGAACGACGTTCATTAAGCGATGATACGAAACAGTGAAGAAAGTCGGCGCCGTGAGCTTGTAATCCTAGAACCACACGCGGCGATGATTACAAGGCACCTATTAGTCAAATTAGCTTTATTGTTGCCTTTGAGTTGCACAAGGCGACCAATCGGCTTACACTCATACAATTATGTAGGCACATTAGCTGGTACAATACGATGAGTCAACAGAAATTGCGTCTCGAGCGTTTATCAAAACAATAGTATTGATAAGTTAATAAAGCGAGGTGCGAGACGCCTAACGAGCGATTACTGAGCGATGTGGAGAATAGACGCCACGCGTCTCGAGCGGGCCGCGCGCGGAATACGTTATGGAAGCGTGACTCACTGCCGCTATTGGGAACGCGCCTCAAGCGCTCATTCTACAAAAGTTGTACAACTAAAAACATCAACAATTTACGATTCGTGTCGACAACTCCTACAGTCGCCACTATGCTTTTTACCAGCCTCGGTCAGGAGATGTGGACGTGATGCGAAACAGAAAGAATCCTCGACACTGGAATGTTACAAAGCACGCGCACGCCGAAAGCGAAAACTCAAGAGTTCGCGAGATGTTACGAAACAAGCGTATTCTCGATTAGGGGATTCGGGCGGAGCGAGGGCACTGACCGACTTCCACATTTATACCGCTAATTCATGCACAAGAGCATCTGCATCCTACGAAGCAGCGTTACGCCAAACACTCGCTCAGCTAATACAGTTTATATTCACGGAACAGACACACCAGACGACGCATATTACACGCCGAGAATACGTAAAGAATTATATTTATGTAAACGACTTCACAGTGATGACAGGTGAAACTGTTCCTAGCGGGAGAGAAAAATGCCGCCTTTGAATATTAAGACACATAAACGAGATACGGTATGTCCAACACATAACAAAGTCACGAAAACATGTACAGCGAATAGAACACTGCACGATAGAGATCTCAAAGCTCGCTCGTCGCGGGACGCGCTTATCTCTGGGAATCGTAATTACCGCGTGAATATTTCAATCGATTCGACTTATCGATGATGCGCGAACAATAACGATGGATATCAGTCCGGACGTATTATTTCCGTACGTCAAACGTGGACTCGGTGAGAACGACCCACCTGAAGACGAGAGATTTTTATCGATCCGCCTGCGAAACTAACGAATCGATGTAATCGATTTCAACATATCGAAGCTGACAAGTGATATTCGAGGTCGGGGGCGAAGGCTCAGTGGGCGCCGGATGGGTTCGAAATTAAAACGATATGCAAATCAGGTACGAGAATTAATCGTCGGGTGCAATCGACGCGACGGCAGCGAGAGCAGCTACTGGGTACAAATCGATGAATAAATAGTGTCCGATTAGCGGCGCAAGGTGTGTCCCTTCGTCCAGCATACTCACCATGGAATCCTGATATTTCATGAATGTCAAAAAACTGTTCTGAAATAGTGCTAAATAGTGCCCAAAGGAAAAAAATAGTGCTCTTGTACTTGCGAAGTTATAGCCATAGTTCGATGAGTATGCTGGACGAAGGTTTCGCCCAGCATACTCACCTCCGTCCGGAGAATCTGTATACGCTTCAAACATAATTCATACTTCAAAAAATAGTTCCCAAATAGTGCCAAACGGTGCCCAAAAAGAAAAAACAGGTTCGTCCAGCATACTCATCGAACTATGGCTATAACTTCGCAAGTACAAGAGCACTATTTTTTTCCTTTGGGCACTATTTAGCACTATTTCAGAACAGTTTTTTGACATTCATGAAATATCAGGATTCCATGGTGAGTATGCTGGACGAAGGGACACCGCAAGGTGTGTTCAGAGCTTAATGGATGAATCGCATCGAATCCGAGCAGTTGAATGAATTGACGCGTCGAACGCGCCGTATTTGGCTGTATTTGATCAGTCGCGGGCTTCATTGATTAACCGTTCGCGCGAACAAGACGATACGGAACACAATTAGGCGCGATAGTTATCGGACTCGAATATAGCCCACGTGTGTGCGAGTTATGTCAGCTGGATGTGTACAGAGAGTACACTGACGTGCATGTGTCGGCACGTGAAAGCTATTGATTGGTTTACGTTGGTGGGGATTGATTTTCCCCGTAACTCGACGGCCGGCGTCGAGTTTGACAGGAGAATTTATAATAATCACTGGCGGTACCACCGAAAGTAATTTTCAATTAAGTTTCTTGATAATCCGGATCACGAGGCCGGGTGGACTTAGAACCTGAGGCGACAGCGCGCTCCCTTGATAATTGGAAACTGTCTCTAGTTACAAATAACACCTGCTGCCTACTTTGTTATTAGTATCTTTTTCTTTGGTATTTCATAAATATTCACCGCCAACTATACTTTTACAGTCTACTACTTCAGTTCTTTTTTCTTTGGCGCTTTTAAGTTTACTATATTCTTATGCTAATGGAATGGTCGTTAAAGAATCACCAACGATTTGGTCTATAATCAATAGTATCAAGCGGCGCGCCGAATACATGAACTGTGTTAGAGCTAGAATGAAAGGCCGATTCATTCACAATAATGAATCAATAGTAGCGCGACCGCTCCCACTTCCGAGTCGTCACTTTAAAAGATAAACCGGTCCGTGGCGTTAATTATAAACCGATTTTAAATCAGATTATTTCGCTACCGAACACCGATCTATCCATTTCGACATCTATGCGGCTCTGATCATCAATTTCATTGATAGGATTTTCGGTAGGTTTAATTGAATCATCATATTTAAATTGAATTTTAAGCTCCGACCAGGGAGAAATTTTATAAGGTGTACATTACAGAAATCTATTTATAAACGAGATGAAAATAATCATGATGAATGATGCAGACGCCGTCAACGGAAGTGTAAAATTCCACCACGTGATAATTCATTTCTTGCGTCCGCGGTGCTTCTTATCCATATTGATCTGAATGAATGTGTCAATCCCGATTCGCAATCAGTTGTGAGACGTTCACTCACCAACACACTGAACATTTTTATTCAAATTACCCAAAAAACAAAACTTTCATAAACACGTCCGTAACTCAAACCTGGAGCGACGTGATCAGCGAAAACAATCTACTCGTCAAAATATTTACAAAATATATTAACAAAACAGTTTATTGCTTGTATATTATTCTTTCTCTTATCTAAAAAGCTAATCTAGAACGTGACTATCTCGTTAAACAGTCGTAACCTGCCGCTTGGGCGCGTCGATGTTGGGGATTTAGTCTAAGTGCCATCGGAACTACCGTTGTGGGTGATGGGACATGTGGGGATGTGAGAGGTGAGCGTGCGAGTACGGCTGACCAAGGGAGCTGAGGGGTAACGGTGAAGGGCAGGGGGGGTGCTGGTGGTACTGCTGCAGCGGCGACGGAGCCAGCCCGGGGTGGTGTTCTAGCGGGTACTGCGCGGAGCCCGCGTACGCCAATTGCCTCACCTTCATATCCTCGTCTACTACGTTATACGTGAGCTCTGTTTCCTCGTAGCCCGTCGCAGCCATGCGTTGCTCGCTGGTGGTGGGCGGGTCTGGAGAGTTAAGGCACGTCTGGATCAGCCGCTTGCCAGAGTCTGACGTGATCATTGGCTGCAGCTTCCGCGTCGCGAACGTATACACGTGGCCTGTCTCTGACGCGACTAGCAACATCACTTGTGTCCCTGTCAGGGTCGACAGCTCGTATGCCTAGAAAAAAGAAAGAACCCTGTTAATTTTCCAACCCAGATATAAGGAATTAATAAATTTTATAGTACATCATACTAGTAATTTGTGATCATTTGTGGTGAACAACTTTATCATATTCACCATTTAAACTCCATGCTAAAGGACGTCCCAATTTCGCTATCCGTCAAAATGTCTTTTGAAAAGTACTTAAATCTGCGCAAAACCATAAAAACTCACATAACTTTAATGGCGCCACTATATAATTGCCTACTTTCTACAAACAAACATTGAAATGTGAGTTGGCTGTCCCATTACTCGGGCCGGGAAAACTGTTTGTTTCCTTTAGTCAACAACACGATAAGAGTTCTACTCAAGCCAATTTGACGCTCGGTGCTTCAAAGTTTACTCGGACGGTGTTATCGGGTCCTAAAAGTTTCCCTGCCGACCTTTCACCTCTCCCACGCCTCTAATTCGTATGTAAACCACTACACGTTCGTTTTCGGGAGCAATATCATTCTCTCACGGCACTCTTTGTGTATGCAAGACGAATTATCACACCCACTGGCGCCCATCCACCCACACCTACTTATACCACAGTTTATTTACTGACGGCACATTCTAATTTCGACCCCAGTACCCCGCATTAAGAACTGTGTGACAACACGTTGGAACACCAATTTGACACGGACAATTGACAAAAGTCAGGTAGCCTCGTATTATGTTCATCTTTCCAATTGATGCTAAATACATTGTGTGCCTTAGTACGATAGTAATAGGGGATTGTGTGAAGGATTTCTGTGACTTTTCTATGCAAATTGATTGTCGTATATTATTGGTTTTTCCATTGCATAATTCAGTTTGCGGTCTCGGTCGCCCACTGAACTATAAATTGGTTACGTGGTAACGGAATTATTTGTAAACAATTTTATTTATTGGTTGTTGACTTAGTTTTGTCTAAGACTCAAGGCTGACTTTTAGATCTACGATGCGTGAAAAGTTTCGGTGCTCCTAACCTAGTTTTAAAGCTCACGTTCTACTTTCACATACACTACAAATAATGAATATTTACATGCTAATATTTTTGTTTATAATTTACAAAGGCAAAGTTCACATGGGTCATAAAGGCAATTCAATCAAAACTGACATGAGAGAGGAATATTTTAACAAATAGTTTTATTAAAACAGACGTTGTTTTGGTACTGTCCGTTTTAAATCTATGGAATGCCCTCGATGTCCTTGTTCCAAATTCAAGATCCAGAGTTTCAAAATACCAAAGAGAATCAATGGAGCCGGACAGTATCATTACAATGACAATAAGGCTCAGAAATGAGCCTGACAACCAAAGCTATAGTTAATTGAATAATTTGATTTAGAATTTTCAACTTAATCCCCCAGGCTTTAAGATTCTATTTATATCAGGGAGGGCTGAGTGATCGCTCCTTTCTTAAAACTTGCACTTCCCTTCTCCATTCATTGTAGTGATTGATGATAAAGCTGTAATTAGCGAACCTACTGCTTGCATCTTTGACATCGACACCCTTAATCTCAAAACTGGGTCATTGTAAAATGATTCTTATAAACCTGATAATAAGGTAGTGAGTGACAGGTCAGTTTAGTGAGTACCGGTATAAAACAGTGCCGAAATTGACAATTACAAATGCACCTTTAATGAGCTTTGTTGTTATACATGATTAATGGGGGCTTCAGTGAAATTTCAGAGGACTTGAAATTATTGGTACTGAGGTCATTTAAAAATACGGTATTCCTTTTGATTATGGGGATTCGTGTTTTTACGTATTTTACTTCATTAATCAGGAGTGATTCAGATTCTTATTCCTACACATATATTTATATTTCGTTTGGCTAGATATTATCATCGGTCTAGTGATCTTATAGTTAGCAAAGATAAGGCTTTGCATCCAATGAGAATTGGCATTTTTCGGATTTTCGGTAGTAGCAAAAAGGTTCTCCCTATTATTTATAAGATTAGTGTGAGCTGCGCGACATCGCCGCGACGGCGTACGCTACTCAAGAGGAAAACCCCCTCTGTGGTTCGAAACTAGTAGAGCTTTTCTCAGTATATTCACGTGAGTAATCCGCGATTTTAGTTGATTTAGTATGTCTCACGATAGTTACTATAAAAAGATTAGTGTATTAACAAACTAGCAAAAAATTTATTAAGTCATATGCATATTGCTATAACAGAAAAAAATACGCAGATTGTAATTGTAATCAAACTCCAAAATTCCTTAACCAGTCACATTGGTACAAAATTGCATAATTTATCACAACTGCTCACACATATCATATCGCAAGGAATATCAAAGTAAACGTAATAAAAAAGCGATTATCGATACAAACGAGAAGCATTAAAGGATCCAACTTTATTACTGCAATTGATTTTTATAGTCGTTTTCATGTGTACATAAATTTTCGCTACTGCACCGTAAGCTTAGCTAATTAACTCTGATAAAATCGATACTAAATATTCATTCGGTCAAATCGATTTGGAACTCGAACGAGATTTAAATGTAGAACAGTATGTATTTACCCTTGTTTTATTATAGTTGTAATTAGGTTTACATTTATGTAATTTTAAGTAGAATGATTGAGTAATTGCCAGTGCAACTGCCCCAGTAGGTGGTAAAAATACGCGGGTAAAACTAAATGACATTAGAATGATTATCGTGAAACATACTAAATTAATTAAATATCGCGGGTTACTCACGTGAATATACTATGAAAAGCTCTACTAGTTTCGAACCACACAGTGGGTCCTTTCTTCCTCTTTTCTCAGTATATTTACGTCAGTAACCTGCGATTTTTTGTTAGATGACATTAGAGTTTACGATTTCCCCCATTCTCCATTATAGAGTTTAACTTTGATTTAAAAGTAATGGAAATAAGTCCACCCTTTTTACAATAAGAAAACACAAGCTTGCGAAAACTAAATTCCCTTATCTAGTATCGAGCACAGATTTTTATCAACAAAACGATCCCAACAAAAATATTTCTCAAGAACCTCAATAACTTTTCTATTGTTTACAAAAACAAATAACTGAATGGTAACTATCTCAAATAAGTTTATCACGTCAATTTTACAGTTAAGTTCAAATTACGCTGTCGAAGTTTAAACCAATAGCTTAGTTTGAAACATGATTAGCCGGCAAACAATTGGTTAACCTCTGTTTGACTCCAGCCAACGGTGACCTGCGTTAGGGCTGGTAGGAGAACAGGTATTCATTTTACATATATCATTTCAACTTGATATGGTAAATGTGTGTTGGTTTTCACACTAAAACAAGACTTCGGTATAACTAGATATAAATAATTCGACTGCACGGTTGGCGCGGTGCCTCGTCAACTAGTTGTCGTGGAACGTGTAGCGGGGTAGATCCCGCTCGCAACAACTCTGTGTTATCCACAAATTGTTGTTTCGGCTCTGGGTGTCATGTGTATGTGAACTTGTATGTTTAAAAACGCACCTACGACACCGGAGAAAATCTTAGGATAAGGCAATGTTTTTTCTAAAAAAAATTAACACCCTGATGGAGTTGTAACAGTTTGTAGATCTTAAAACATATATGCTATGGCTATGACGTAGAAATTAATAAAATCCATTACAATCGTATTAGCAGATCCAGAAACTTTTACCAAACAGAACCATCACGTCAGATCTGGTCTACAGCACAAAATCATCACGTCAATACAAATTAACAACTTTCACTATAATCCCTTAAAATCAAAAGCAGTCAAGATTTAATCCTTAAATTAAAAAGAGCCAACGTTAGCAAGATTGACAGATCCGTTCAAAACGATTTACAACAAACCGATATTGCAAAAAAATATCGGATAAGTGCTCTAGTTAAGTCACAAGTGATTGTAGTAAGGTGCAACTAAGATCCGTGAAACCGGCGCGCATGAGTCGTAGGCCCGATAGTAACCGAAAGTTGTCGAAACTTTACGAACGCAAATCCGAAAATCGAAAGCCAATTGCCAAGAGGTGGTCCAAGACGATGGTAATGACAATTGACGTGTAAATCAAATGCTCTCGTTAATTGAAGAGTAAGAATTAACGATTATATCAAGTAGAATCTTGTGTAACGGAAGGCTATTAAAAGAAATCTATAGCTTCGTTGGTCCATTCCATGTTCCATTGTTTTCCTGCTAATTTAGGACTGAAAGGAACACTTATCCTGCGTATTACGTGCGTAGGCGATGGTATAGCAACCTGTCTAAACAATTGGCAGTATAAATAGTTCGTGAAGATTTACGTTGTCTTAAAATAATATCAATTGAAATAACTAAGGGAGAAAAATGGTTGTTCACGATCAATAGCTACAAGGTTTGCTTTAGGAATCAGTAAAAACAATAAAGAAGAGAACATATAGGTAGCACAGGAGAAGATATAAATATAAGTACTAGAACTGCATAATATATTTTGTCTTTTCGTACCTCATACATCATTAACATTTCACAACAAGAAAGTCCGTCTGGACGTTAAGTCGAGAATCGTCGCGTAATTTTAAATAATCCGACATACAAAGTACAATGAGAAGGCGCGAGGGTTTAAATGTCAATATTATGCCGTGAAGGCAATGAATTACAAAGAAAAAAAATGACAAAAAGAAAAATGGCGGAGTTGCAAATTGGTTAAGACATGATATTAGTGGAAAGCTGAACATACTCGTAAATATAGACATAGGTAATAGCTACATACAAAATATAGTGTAGTGTACATTTGTTAGAAACATAATTCTTCAAAGAGTATCGGAGAAATCGACAATACCTTTTTTTAAACAGCTCCAATACAACTTTACAATAATAAGTACACTCACAAAGAAAGAATTCTAACAAGAATGGCTGTACAATGGCTTTCAGTTCACTTCTAAGGAAGGACATCAAGCGAGCTCTCTTGAAGCGATCAATTGACTGGAGCACCATACACTACTGTGAATAAGCCATGTCCTTTGTAGTCCTTCAAATGCAGAAAATAAGAATACGGATAAAGTTTCTAGAGG